CATCATGCAAGTCTGTAACATCATGTAACATCATGCCCAGTATATAGATGAGGGTTGACTGGAAAGAAGGTCTTCTGCTCTTCTAGTGGCTCTCACTCTTCAACGCTTGGAGTACTCTTTGTCTCTCTTTTTTGTCCTCTCGCTCCTCTGGGATTTCAGGGACTTATCTGTTTCAGGATCGTTAGTCTGGACCAGACCGGGCCTTGGTAGTCAGGTGGTGAGCAATTGCACTGTGCATCACTTTTTTGTGTCTATTATGATATTTATACACATATGTGTATTCATATATTATTATTATCAGTATTAAATTGTTCTTTCCCTTTTTCCCTCTAATTCTCTTCCTCATCCCCTGGGGTGGAGGAGGATGGGCGAGCAACTGTGTGGCCATTAGTTGCCGGCTGGCCTGAGCCACGACACCACTCCATCGTGCAGTGCAATAATGCTTGTGAGCTGTCCACCCACCCCACCCCCCCAGCATTGTTACCTGAGCAATTATTTGGAGCTCTTGCATGTTCAGGGGAGCAGGGTCACGCTGCTGCAGGAAGGTCAGTCTCCCACTTCTTTGAAAGTTTTGTTCTTTCATGATTGGCTTCACTCTTCCTGCTAGAATTAAGTTCTTTATTAAACTGATTCTTTTATACACCTCAAGCAGAGTCTTACCTGAGAATAGATGTAGCCCTTTAAGCTCGTATCTGATTTTTTCCCAAAAGATAATGCAACACACAGCATATTTACCTACTTTTACCTACTGCTTCCTCTTGTCATGAAAGTGCATTTCACTATGCTTGGTTTTAAACAGAACTGAAATTAAATGTTTTTGGCAGGCTTGGAGGAGGGTAGTGCATGATAATAGTGTCTTTGTTCTTTATAATGGTGTTTTCACCATTTTTAGCATTGTAATATTCACTTTGAAACCTGTGTGCTCATGAGAGATGAGGTAACTGTGTTACTTTACCTAGGCAACACTGGTTTTATTGTCTCCTTTAATAAATGACAGAGTTAGAAGAGGCAGCAATACAAAATGTCATTATACTCTGTTTAAGTAAAAAGCAATATTTTCAGAAGAATATTTTGTGAACTAACAAGTCTTACAAGGCATTCCTAGGAGCAGAACTAGGTAGCACAGTAAAAATGAAGCAGTGTGCATATGGACATATGCCAGTGTGAACTGTTTATCTTCACCTTTCCTTTAAGATAAATTTCAGAGTACAGTTTGTTTTGAACGTTTTTTCACAGTGTTTCCTTCCATCAAACAAAGGGAAAAAGCCTGTTATGACCTTCTTCTGTCATAATAGTCCCAAACTCTTTTGGAGATTTATTGATGTAACTTTACACTACTTTGAACAGTAGTAGAAAATACAGAATTGTTTTAAGATGAGCAAATAGCATTGCTTTAGTTAGCATTCAGCAAGTCCTCTTTTCTGACAAGGAATATGGCAGAATTGCAGCACAGGGAGAACAAGTCTTGCGTTGATCACTGAAAGTAATGGATCATTGAAATCCTGCATTAATCTGCCCCTCTGGTGTCTATACATTATAAAAATTCAAGCATGTTGCAGATTGCCTGCCTACCATACAACTAGAATGTGGAAGATTTACAGGGTAAATTACTATTGACATACACCAGGTCACTGAGACTGAACAGCTCACTGCTGTATTCAGCTTACTGCAAACATCAGCTTTGCCTTTTCATGTCTTCAATCTTCCTGAGGCTAAAGTTCTTTACAAGGACAATGGTTTGTGTTTTGGATTAATCAGAAGCCTCGATCATTTGAAAGGTTATGTATGCAAGGAACAGCAAAATCTCTTTTTTAAATGAGCTGTGTGTTGGAATTTGTGGAGAATTGTAAGAATTAAAATCTATAGAAGCCATTAGTGGAAACGTATGTCTAAAAGAAAACATAACAGTGATAAGCCTATAATATTCTTTGAATCCAAGCTCCTACTGATGGGGGGTTGGGTGGGGATACATTTGACTGACTTTTCCAGTCAGTTAGTTGTATTTTTGCACTACAGAGTCTTTTGCAAAACATAAGCCTTTGGAATTGTTACCAACAGGAAGATCTCTTCTCCTGTTGCTTGAAAGATTCTTTGTAAATAGAATACAAGATGTAAGCAAACAAGATAAAAACATCTAAGAATAAAAGAAGTCACTTTGGTAATGAGAAGCATTTCAATGCACAGGTTCAGAGTTCATAGAATGAAAAATCATATCTGGCTGCAGTAAAATTAAGGGTGTTAACATTCTTAAGCAAATAAACTCATGTAAGGCTCTGTAGCAAAAGTCTACTAACAAAGCTGAAAGAATTCTCTCTGTTAAGTGACAATATTTCTCCAGGCTGTCTTTCTTCATTCATCAATTTCTTATATTTTACCTTTACAGAATACATAAGTAATTCCTTCTGTAAAGCTCAATGTTTTTACTGTATATTTTGCTTTTGAGACATCTTCAATTTCCTGTTGACATAAGGGGAACAAATTAACCCCCAACTCATAACTGCTCAAAGCTGAGATCTATTAGAGTCCTTAATGGACTAAGACACTCTGACATTTGAGCTACTAGTATTTGCAAAGTTGCTATGGTGATAAATATAGTTCCGTTTTAAAAAAAAAAATAATAAAATCCTATTTTGCTTAACCACAAATTTCAGAAGAATTCAGCATGGTTCCAAAAGAACATTTCTGACAAAATGAATGCATGGTGCCCTTTTTCTAAGCAATTGTATCTTTAGTGAAATGTAAGTGTACAGAGAAGTCTGACCTCTGCTTTTGTCACAATACCTTATGATCATCTACTCAAATTACTATAAAACTGTTTTATAGTAATGGAGCACCTCTGCTATGAAGACACGCTGAGAGAGTTGGGGCTGTTCAGCCTGGAGGAGAGAAGGCTCTGGTGTGATCTTATAGCAGCTTTCCAGTACTTAAAGAGGACCTACAGGAAAGCTGGAGAGGGACTTTTTACAAGGGCATGGAGCGATAGGACAAGGGGCAATGGACTTAAACTGAAAGAGGGGAGATTTTGATTAGATATAAGGAAGAAATTTTTTACATTGAGGGTGGTGAGGCAGTGGAACAGGTTGCCCAGAGAAGTTGTGGATGCCCCATCTCTGGAAGTGTTCAAGGCCAGGTTAGATGAGGCTTTGGGCAACCTGGTGTAGTGGAGGATATCTCTGCCCATGGCAGGGGGGTTGGAACTAGATGACCTTTAAGGTCCCTTCCAACCCTAACCATTCTCTGATTCTAAAATAGCACAAGTCTATTTCTTGAAGGAAAGATCAGGGCAGGCCCAAGGGAACAATCTCTAGCACAAAATGCCTGTGGCTTGCTTCAGCTTCTTTTTGGTCATTCTGATGGAGTAAAACAACCCTAAAGGCAGCGTGGTCCTTCTCCTTAAATTCCTCTGCCTGGCACTGCAAACCCATCACAAACAGCTTAAAGGTGCTCTGACTGATGCAGGGTAGTCTGGGCCTGTGGGCAATGGCATTGGACCCCGGGTTACAAAGATAGCTGTAGCAGGTTTTGCCCATGTCCATCCCTCCGGTCTTGCAATATGCAAAGCCAGTTGGGCAGATTTGATCCATTTTCTGTCTTTCACTAGAAATGGTTGTCTGACTGCATAATGATCTTTTTTGTGCATTAAACATTTTGCAGACAGGGGTCTGAGTATGTAGAGATAATGGCAGTGTTATGAGAAGGGGTCACTAGTGAACTTAGCACCCAAAGAGACCAGCTTCCAAAACACTTAGGTGACAGACTTTTGACACTATTTCATCTTTTCTTACAGAGACCTAGGGCTCTGGTACACAACGGGATTCCCTTCCAGGGCACTATCTCCTACACTATCCTATCCTACTACAAAATGTGTAGTAAATTTGTAGTTAAGCAGGTTAGTTTCTATTCCAGTGCAGTTTTCCGAAGCACCCTGCATTGTCCAAGGAGAGAGAGAGAGAGATGCTTTGCATCTTTTTCTCTCTCCATTGCTCATACAAGGACAGAAGAGAGATTAATATTCTACCAGGTGCTTGACACAGAGCCTGAAGCCAGACATAGTCACAAGTCCAAGGCAAAAGGTAAGTGCTTAGAGTAAGTTTGCTGCATACTGCATTACCTTCAAAGGCAGGTAGTGCTCTCAGTTAGAAGGTGGTAGCCAGCAGCATCACTCCTGACTAAGCCTGGAGCCAGGACGTGGAGCTTTGCTTCCTACAAAGCAGGTCTGAGTATCAGCAGCGTAGCAGTCAGCGACTGGGGGTGCTATAAGTGTGTTCCTAAGTTGCCCATTAGCTGCATTGCATTCAAATTGCAGAAGAGAGCTTTGCAGGGTAAGCTGTTTCAGCACCAGTGCTCAAGGTCTCATGGTGTTTTAAGGCCTCAGATACTCTGATTCAGCTGTAGTCATGGTAAGCGCTTGCATAGTTTAAATGGAAGGTAAATTAAAGTTCAAACTCTGTCCCTATCCATGGCTTAATGCACAATGTAAACGCTGCTGCTGTCCTGGTAGGTCAAAGAACTATAGTGGAACGTCTTGGAGAGAAACAACAGAAGGAAGACAGAATAGCTTGGAAGTTTTACTGATAAATTTAGATCCTGATTTTAAAAGCTGAAAGACATGAAATGTGAATAAGCTGTTGATTGTGTTTCAAAGGTCTAGTTTTAGATTATAAGGTTTGCATTAAAATGTGAAAATACTTTTTTGAATTGTGTGGGAGAAAGCGTCACCACTTCTTTCTAAAAATATAGGAAGAATGTTGATGGCAGAAATATTGAAAGACTGTCTTGTTTTAACAAACAAAAATAAAACCTGTGCTGATATTATTTCTGTAATAATAATTCCTGACTGATAATCCATTGTTTATTTGAAATCCAGAATTAAACAGAATCCTATTACCCTAGATGTCAAAGTCACTATTGTCTTTTTTGTCTTGTTACGATTCTGCTTGAAATTGCTTTAAGGGGAATTTGCTTTGCTTTGACTTCTCTCTCTCTCTCTCTCTTTTAAGGTCAACTCAAATCAAAACATACTCTTGGGATAATGCCCAGGTTATTTTGGTTGGTAACAAATGTGACATGGAGGATGAACGGGTAATCTTCACTGAGAGAGGCAAACATTTAGCGGAGCAACTTGGTAAGAAACAAAATTACGAAAGCTTTATTATTGCTTGTGAGAATGCACAAAGTAATGTCATTAATTGCTACAGTACTTGTAATGAACTTTGCGATACATTCACTGGAAAGGAGTAGTCATACCCTACCTCCCTTTTGTTTCTGCAGGCTGAGGTCTGAACTGACCTTGTTGCTATCACTAATACTGTAACATCATTGGAATGGACATGTGTCCAGGAATGACCTTTTGCAGAGCTGTGCATAAAGCTGTCTGTCATCCAAAAGCATCCGCAAGACCAGTGCTGGCTTAGAGGCTGGCTTAGACTAAAGACATACCTGACAAAATGTTCCTTATGCTGCTTCTTAGATAGGAAGTACATTATGGCCTTTGTGATAAGCATCAAGATTAGGCATATGTCTGTATATATACAATATGCTTAAATAGCTATAGCTATAGGCAGATATGTCCTAGCCAAGGAAAAAAAAATAGCACCAAAAACCACCACCACAAAAAAAAAAAAAACCACAAAAAACTTAAAAAAAAACAAAACAACAAAAAAAAAAAAGAAGAGAGGAGAGATTGAAGAAATACCTTACTCAAAATGTGAACTAAACCTTTTGCAAGTTGAGAAAATTTGAGTTATGATATCCGATACCAATAATCCAAAACAGAAAGACATCAATATCCAGCTCCCACTGCTAAGAGTTCACCTACTGCACATTTACACAGGTATAAGTAACATGAACTTCTATTTCATAAAGTCTCCCTCTAGGAGACAAATGTTGTCCACACAGAAAATTACTGAGTTGCGAACATCTCTGTTCTTTCTGTTTCTGCCATGAAACGTTTTTGAGTTGACACTGATCAAACAGTAATGGAAAATCTCCAGAGCATCATCATAATACTACTATCTGGCCTGTTTTTCCTT